TTTTTTTTTCAGTACTGGGGACTGAATGCTAGTCCTTCACACTGAACTACGTAGTGCTTTTATATTTTATTTTGAGATAGATTGTTGTAACCCACTCGGTTTCTCAGAGTGGGCTTCAGTTTGTGATCCTCCTGCCTCAGCCTTCCAGAGTGCTAGGATTATAGGCATGGGCCACAACATCCAGCTAAAAATTCTTAAAAAGATCAGAGCTGCATGTTATTTTAATTCACCTTGTATGTATGCAGTGACCCTAGACATTAAATAGGTCAGTGCTCTGAATTGTTTATGCTAGGATTACATTAAAACAGCTTTTTCTTCACAATTGCTTGGATATCTTGAGTGTAATAAGTGAGTGTATTTCTATGCTGTAAAATAATCTGTTTTAAAGATAAATTTTTAATATTATGAAAGACGTCATCGTGGTTTAACAGTTTTTCTTATGCAGTAAGTTTTCTGTTAGATCTTCCATTTGGTACCATGTGATTGTTATGAAAATTATTCTGTTCAGTTCTCTTAAGATCTCAGGAAAATATAAATGATCAAATAGTTATTCTTTATTTCTGGATTGAATAGATATCCTCAATCTCTTCTGGTTTTTGTTTTTTTCCTATGTCAGAGAATTGGGTAAATGTTTCTAAAAAATGAATGCCCTAACGAAAACAAATACATATACAAGACTATTAAGATCGTTATACAGCTAGTTTCTCTTAACTCATTAAGAAGTTGCACTAGTATTGCATAGACAAGAAAAACAAAAGTGTGAATGTCCTAAGCTGTTTCCTCTTAAACCAAAACCTGAAGCAGACTCTGCTGCTTATTGCTTTAATACTCAAGATGCACACAAGTCTTCACAAGGGTGTTTCACTTCTCAAGAGGGATACCTCATCCTCTTCTGAAGCACCAAATCCACCATTTCCCCATGGGAAAATGTCTTATTAAAAAAGTACAGTTTAAAATCCCAGATACTGTAAATTCTTTTAGTTCTGTATTCTCTCATATCAGATACCATACCTCATGTCTTTGATATATTGTGCTGAAGGGAGTAAGAAGAGAAGAAAATGCAGGTCCTCCCTTTCAAAATAAAAGTGTTCACTCTTCTACCGTGTTTTCTATTTTAAGTTCACCCTTACTATCTTTGGCAGTTTAAAGTAGACTTTAAATTCATGCATACTTAATCCTCACAGCTGGCATCTGAAGTTTTTGTGATCAGTGCTGAATTGAATGTGGAGTGAAACTGTAGTTGACACTAAACAGGTCCAGTAAAGTTCTTCCTTTTGGTTTTGTAATTTTTGTTTTTAAAAAACAATGTGAGACTACCTATTAACTACTATTTTCAAAAAACTCATTAAAATTCTTAGGACAGCTGCCTTAGCCATCTTGTGTATTTAGATGTATGGTTTGCCCCTACCTTATTTCCTATCTTTTCTCCTTTCTCTCTCCATTGTTTAATCCTTAAGTTCTGTTACATTCTATTTAACTGTGTCTATTATACCTTCAGTTTTTATTTCTTATTTTGAGTTCTTATACTAGGGAGATAATACGATATTTACACATGTGGGTCTGGTTTATTTCACTTATGAGTATAGCCTCAAGTTGCATCCACTTAGCTACAAAGGCTTTGAGTTTGTTTTTCTTTGTAGCTGAGTAATACTCCATTGTATAAAAACATCACATCTTTTTCATCCATTCCTCAGGTGTTGGGCATTTTGGTTGTTTCCAAGATTTGTCTATCACAAATTGTGCTGCTATAAACATGAGTGTGCATGTATCAGCATAATATGATGTTTTCATTTCTTCTGGGAAAATTCCCAGAAAGGAATAGCTGGATTGAATGGAATTTCCCCTATGCTACTGTCAGTGAACTAAGCAACTACATTGAGAACAGCAATGTGTAATACTGAAACCATGCTTGAAATACCTGTCATCTTAGTCTTCTGAATATATACTGTTTCTAAATGTCATATTAATTATTACTATTCTGTTTTAAGTAAATCTTTTTTTTAAAAAAAGGTAATAAAAAATGAGAGACAAGAACAAAAATTTAAGTTTTTTTGAAGGCATGTGATAATCAATCATGTAACAATATCTGTTAATCTGAACAACAGATTTGACGATAAAAATAGATAATATATCAATCATTGTTAATCAGCTATTCCTGCTTTGAAAATCTATAATGTATGCATTGTTTTATGTTACCCTGTTTCTGTTTTTGTTTGTCTTGTTCTTCTTTTTTACTCTTCAAAATAAAAGAAAATTATAATAAAAATGTGAGGCTTTATAAATGCTGTGTCTCACAGATTGTTGAATTTCAATTTTTTAATTTTGTTTCTGTTGGCCTATATTGAGAGACATAACCATATAAAACTTGTTAATATCTTCCATAGAGCTTATCGTTAAAACCTTTTTTTATTTATAAACCACTTAATTTTATTATATAGTATGTTTCTGGGAGAAACATTTTTTTGCAATTGTTATGAAGATTGTTACTCTTTTGATCAGTTGTTTTCAGGTTAGGACCATGTGAATTGTATAATACATTAGATTTCTGTCCACATGTTATTCTTACAAAGCTAATAGCCACATTCAGGACACTTTTACCCCATATCAAGTGTTTATTTGCTACTTGTTATTTCTGATACAAATTCATGACACTGTTCAGGTTTTTTTCACTTTCACTATGCTATTTTTTTGTACTCTGTGTACATTTGTCTTATGACATTTCAGTAGGAAATGTGAAATGCAACATGCTCTATTTTTATAGTTAAAAATCATTTTTATTTCTCATTGAAATGAAGGGCCCCTCCCTTTTTTATTTTGGTTTTTGAGAGAGGGTCTCATTATGCAGCTAAAGCTGAACTTGCACTCACTGTATAGCCAAGGTTAGCCCTGAACTCACAGCAATCTTCCTGCTTCAGCCCCCTAAATGCTGGGATTACAGTTGTTAGGTACCATGCCTAATTTAAACTCCCTTTTCTACATGTAAATGCTAATTGCTCAAAATTAATTTTTCATGTTCAGTTAATCATTAGAGATATTGATTTACATTTTTCTATTTAAGATCCAATTTTGGATGGTATGGGTTGAAAGTGACCAAAGCATGTTATGTTCTAGCATTAATCTACCAAAATGAAATACATTAATCTGTATAAACAACAAGAGTAAAAATGAAGCATTTTAAAGTAAATCCTTCACATGGAGTCCCACATGTTAATATTTTATAGGTGAGAAAAGATAATGATAGAATCATAGGTTTTTGAACTGGGCATGGTCACACTGCCTATAATCCCAGCACCAGGGAGATTGAGGCAGGATGATCTATGTGAGTTCAAGGCCAGCCTGAATTATAATGTGAGGCCCTGTCTCAAAACAATAACAACAAAAGAATTACAGTATTTTTACACTGAATGGTAGCTTAGAGATGTTATAATTTTTCCCCACACACTGTATTTTGTGTATGTTATTCAAATAATGTGTCTTTTTCTGTTTTTCAGTTAATGTATGCTGTGGAAAAATCTATAAATACAAAAAGACTCTGGAATTTCACAGAGGAGGAAGTTTCAGAACGAGTGATACTTCATATTTGCCCTTCTACGAAAAAGTATCTTTTACTTAGGTATTTATATTTCAAAGGTAGAAGAAGACAATTTCAAAACTGACCATTCCTGTAGAAGATAACTTTTAGTTTATGTGGTTTTTAACTGGAAATTTTTATATACAAGCTTTTTCTCCCAGTGAGCATTCTTGGGCTTGACTCCATCCAAAGCAGCACTCCTGCTGTGAGGAGCATGTTTGAGGAAAACTTCACAAGTGCTTCTCTACTGTTTGTCATGATCAGCAGTATTTATAAACAGAAGGAAGTAGTTTTCAACTGTGTCCCTAGTAGAGGCACATGCATATCTACACTTATTTATATATCTTCAAGTATATAAAGTATTACGCATTGAAGGAACTCTTTACTTTTTGATGGTTTGCCTTTTGTTGCTTATGAAGATTTCTATTTTAGTTATTTCTGACCTTAATTAGTAAAGAATATCTTGTCGAACTTATGATGTCTGTGATCCAAAGGTAAGAAAAATTATTCTCTAAAGATGTTTTCTGTATTTCAACTACTTTTAAATTAAAATTCACCTTTTTATTTAGTTCTAATAATATTTCATTCTATTCTTATTGATGCTATAGCCACCTGTACTTTTTTTGAAAAATAAAATTAATTACAGGCAAGGAAAAATTGTTTTTTAAATTATTAATATATTTTAAGCCTCTTCTACCTTGCTTATATGCTCACTTTTGTATTTGAAAAGCTGATAGTAAAAATAACTAGACTTTCTGTAGCTATAGTGTCTAGTAAATAAGCTTCCTGTAGACAGCAGAACTTAGGCCTGCATTTTGTTTGTTTGTTTGTTTTTGCAATACCAGGGATTGAACTCGGGACCTGGCACTTGCCAGGCAAGTGCTTATTCTACTGAACTGTCTCTTTGGCCCTTAGGCC